TGCCCAAGTGGTTTACATTTGTGTTGCTTTTGGAATGGGTTGGCTACCAGTAATGTAGATGAAAGCTTATGAAAAACCGATCGATGCCTTAAGATTGAAAGGGATATCAACGCACTTTTGAACATTGAGCTCCAGTTCCAAAGGTTGGCTAATCAAGGTTATGTGAAGAAGGATCGGTGTGTAGACATTCATTGACGATATGATATGCATTCTGGTAACCAATGAAACTACAGGGAATGGAAAGAACCTTTATGTACAGAGACAAAAAGAAAGACAACAGAACGTTTCCCTGAGACACACCAAAGTTTAGGGGAGACAGTTAAAGAACGTTTGGTACCTTAAGAGGTAAAGTGGGTTCGGTTTCCAAAGTATTCAAGTGAAATATTCAATATATCTAACCAAAAAAGGCAGTCCCTGACGAGAGGCAATAGGTTTCACTGATTCACTGAACCGAAGGCATTTGCATGGTTGATAAAGACCAATCTTACGGTTCGNCGATGCGTTATCCAAGGTAGACCTGACAGAGTGTACAACATGGGTGACAGTGTCAAACGTCCTAAAGAAGATACATACCCAATTACTGGTTTCATTCGTTCGAGTGGTAAATTCTCAAAGTCCTTCACTAATGCAGAGGTGCAATCAATAGGACGTTGCTTATTGAAACATCTCTTTGGTATGGGAGTGAGTAATTGAGTTCTCAATATTTCCCGCATTGCTCGGAAATTGCAGTACGACAGTTAACCACTTTTCGATCCCCTTTATTCCACAACCCCCCTTGGTGTTTTTGCAGGTTTTCGACAGAATGAAATTTATTTCCACGAGCGGGAATTTCGTATCCGGCTGTGTTGCGTGGGAAAAATCAATCGATACAATGAATCCGACACACCAATACCACTACAGGCCCCATTCGCTGCAAAGATCCCTTTCGCAGTGCTTCAAAATGGTGATCGATGTCCCCAGTTCTATCTGGGCTCGGTCAAATTGCTTTCTGTTGAGGTTGGTTCTTCACCTGTCCCAATCAACTCTGATTCATATCTACGTAGAGCAAAGAGTGTTAAAATTTTCGGCATCAATTAAATGCCAGCGGATAAAGATTAAATAAGAACAGACCCTACTCGATAACCCGGATAGACCTCGGTGTAAACTGGTTGACACAGGGTTACTAGGTACGCCTTGCATGCGGAGTTTTTGTGGTCTAAACCCATGAGTGAGAGAATAACTGGTGTCATGCGCGCATATTCAGTGTAATACATAGTGTCTGACTGGTTGAATCATTCACTCACTCAATCAGTCAATCATTTCCTCAGTCATTTACTGACTCACCAACTGACTGACGGCCTCACAAACTCACTTTTCCCCCATTCGCTCGACGGAAAAAGTTTGCGGATTGGTTTAAACCTCGAAAATCAATGCCAAACGTAAATCCAGCATTGTTGAAACCGATATAGTCATATTGCGTTCCCCAGTCCCACTGTGAGTTGCACATTGCATATTGTAATAAAAAAATTTTTATTAACACAACCACACATACTCCCAAGACAAATGAGAATCCGTGAAAATTCCTTGTGTTGACAAGTGAGTTTCAGGTTTACATGCTGTGGAGTTTTCATCGTGATCGTTTTGCTTCTAAATATAAATCGAGCACCGTGATACATTGACTGACATCATAGTAACCGTTGAGCAACGTATTAAAGACGCTTCTGGATACGGAAGGCGGAATAAATGCATGAAGAAGTTGCAACAAATATTCTTCAATGAATACAGCAGTTAGCAGTTTCCACTTTATTGTACTCATGAAGAACTGTGATGGATAGAAAAAGACGGAACTAGGGACCAAAACAATCAGACAAGGCCGAGTCACAATGAAGTTCAGCGGTTAGGTACAAGTGCACCAAACTCATAGGGACAATTAACCCTTTTCATAAGTTGAGTGTCCTTATAAGTTGGGTGCACATTTTACGTCTGCTAACGGAATCGGTTGGTTCTGAATGCGGACCGTGGTGGATGAGATCAGACAACAGTGGACAAAACACTCAGTGTAAACACTGTCACTCATCTTCCACGATCAAGCCAGCAATCTGGTGGTTTGGGGATCTTGATAGCTCAACCTGAACGTCGCTATGGGATTTTAGTGCAAAGCGATGGATTTACTGATATTATGCGAGTGATCAAAGAGCAGGTATAAATGAGGAAAGCAAGAGTTTTTTTCGGTATAGAACCCGGAGCGTAGTCAGACAATGTGAACAGGAGTGATGACCAACACAGAAAAGTGCACAATGAACTGTGCAAGGTTTCAAAGTCAATAAACCTTTGCCAAACTTGTGAAGAACATGTGAGTAATCCAGGTTCTATTATATAAAGGACTTATGCGCGCCCCCCCCCCTCCAATCCAAGTCCGCTTCATCGAAATCAACTCTACACGGATTTACAAATTCAACAGCGCATCGCTTTACACGTTCACATTCACACACATACTCACAAACTGCTTTCACCAACATTTGCACTCTTAGATTCCACATTGATTCCGTGCAATACTACTACTTTATATCGTTCTCCCAACCCCATATTTCTTTACATGCTCTTACTCAATTATATTCTACGAGACATCTTACACATCTCTGATCGTCCCGTCAGAAGAACACACTGATTGTTGCTTTTGTTGTTGTTTTTGATGATGATGATGATGATGATGATGATGAAGATTTCGTTGATGATGTTGTTGCTGTTGTTGTTGTTGTTGTTGCCGTTGCTCAAAGCTGGTGTGTGTGCGTTTGTTCACGAACCGATATTAGTAACCCATCCATCTGGAACGGATATTTCCAATCGTGAACTGCAGATCTTAGTATGAAGCTTTCAGTCACATCTTCAAACCACTACTTTTGCATTCTGTATGGATTTCCGAAGGAATTCGATTCTTCGGTGTTCGATATTATTTTCCTCCGCATTGAAGATATGTTGCAGTTAGATTTTAAATTTCCCAACTGCAATTGGCTAGTACACACCGTCAGTGTTAAAACCTTCAATCCCAAGTCCGAAGCCTTCCCCATTGTAAACGGCATATCAATATTGATCATCTCGAGAGCAACCTCGCTCGACTCCGGTATTCCACTACAGCTTTTGNCTTTTGTTCTATCTCTTGCCCACCTCCTGCTCCTCATCCGGGCTATTCGTTCATGCGCAACGGGGGCAGATGTCTCGTTCAGTGATGTTATTAGCTCAGTGAGGAGAAACCGTGAGTCAGGGGTCCGACCACTATCTGATAAGATGTGTTACCTTCAGCAATAATGCCGACTGAGTGTTGTATTTTACACGGGGCATGTTTCTAAGCCAGTCCTAGTGATTAACATTTCCCTTCACCAAGTCCTCAACTTCAGGTTTGATCACAATTCAAAAAAAGTTGTGAGACAGTTCTGTAATGTTTCCGAGGCATTACAGTGGTGAGTAACACGTTGATTACACACGAAGAATATGCTCATTCAAAGTTGGAAATTTTGTTGTCTGCTTATTTGTTTCAAGAGCAATCTATGGGATTTATTTAGGAGTAACCATTCAATCCCTGTTCCCTCTCCCACCCCCAAACCCAAACAGTATAGTCGAACCATACCACACACGTATTTGAATCGGCTGGAAATGTTCGGACCGGACCACGTTGTCAAACTTGTGGGCATCCCCAATCTCGTTCTCTGTCAGTATTTCAGCGTGGACCGTAAGTGCAAAAACATTGTTTGTGCTGACAAGACTTGTTCAATTCCGCCTCTATCTCGGGTGGTGTGGAAACGAGGCATGAAGAAATGCACAGAGTGATTACGTAGAATAGGTGTCTACAGCCTACCAGATTGGGGTCTGAAAGACTCCGTAACTGGTTGATTGGACACAATGAATGATACGGCAGCGAACCAACAGCAATGGCTTTCTTGTTGTCATTTCTTATCAGGTCAGAACGCTTGGAAAGGGGTGTATGCATAATTAAATTATGCATTCTGTGTGTTGACCACAGAGGTTTACATTATTTGCCTCCCTCCAGTTAAACCCAAACTCTACCAATCTCGTACCTTATCACTTACCTGGTTCACATTGCGAGCTTGGAAGGGATCATTGAAGTTCGCTTTACTGTATCTCGCTATTAGATCGTAATGATGGTGATATATAATAACTATAATCAGACACATTGTTAAACGGTATCTTACAAACCAACCAGTGTTACCTTCAGGGATGACTCTAAACAACCGGCTCTGAGTTCTGCGTGGACAACGATCAATCAAAGTTTCCAGGTCGGATTTTTCGAATAATTTAACGGCCTGACCACTTCCTTTTGTGGAAAAACTTGAAAATACCGGGAACAAAGCGTCCATTCAAAATTGTGAACTGTATACACGGTGTCTAGGTGATAATCTTTGGGTACTTAACGCGACATCGAAAACAAACAAATCACTATTATGAAAGTTCGATTTTTTACTTTATAGGTAAAAATAGCAATACAATAGACGCCTGCCTGTGTGGTGTAGATTATTTGATTCGTTTGAGCATTCAATACGTGGGAAAACAACCATAATAAGAGATAATACATTCATTTTTGCAGCTTTATGAAAAGTAATTTGATTCATTGTGTTGAGCAGATAGGGTAAGCGAAAGTGGCAGCAGAGACGCTATGGAAAAGGATTCTGGCTTAGTAAGTAATGGATTTTCGGGAGTATCCGGTCAGCAAGACAACTCGGCGCATTGAGGGTATTGAAAACCAGATTGAGGTTACGAAGAAGCCGTTGTAAATTACCTGCCATTTAACGGGGATACGCCAGAAGAACTGGTGTTAAGGAGACAAGTCGATACTGCCAGCGAACCTCAATCTTTAATTCATATCCAAGCCAATCATTAGTTTGCGAGTGCAAAACAAAATGCCTGATTCTACCGTCCCATTCTGTGGTAGAGCCGGCACAGACTGCAACGTAGGGCGATTATCCAAACGTGGCCGAGATCACCAAAATGCGTAACCGAACACTGTAGCAATCAAGTCTGTTACCTGTGCAACGGTTTCACACGTGGCTGAAACAAATCTGTCTGTGGACATGACCGAGTGTTTTACCACCTTTATTTGGTTAACCATATACTATCAAGTCACGCTCTTTGTCGTTCTTTGCCAACCAAAGTGGAGACGATAGGAACTCGGCTGCACAACCCCATCTATGTATATGCTCCAAAACAATTGATGCTGGTGCTTTACCTCCCGCCCCCTCGTCCTCCAGAGTAATCTGACGAATCAACAAACAACTGAGTGATCAGTACATTGTGAAAAATCGGTTAAAACATGAAAGTGACCGCCGGAAACCTCTAACTTGAATCTCTACTTCCTGAAAACAGTTGTGTTTGGATTTCGAAGAGATCTTTAGACGCGATGGTAATTGAGGTCACCCAACGGACCCTGCCCACGCTTTTGTTACAACGCCCCAACTACCAGCAGTAGTCGGGGTACACACGAACAGCACAGATTTTTCACATTTGGTTCACTCACCTTGCTTATAGGATCCACTAATGCACAAGTGAACTGTCTGCCTCGGCACACTTTCCTTAGATTCCGCCGGAGCCCAGCGAATGGCTTCCAAGTCTGAATTGGCAGGCGAAGTTATATTGCATGTCGCCGAATGACCCGCAAGGACAGACTTGTGCTTGGATTGTGAAGGGATATTAGTCTAAGTAGGGTGCATAATCAGTGTGGCCTAGCAGCTGAGCTGGTAGAGTGTGTCGTGTAAAAAACATAGATCGTTTCCAGCCGTAGGTTCGAATCCCACAGTTCAAGCATAAAACTTTAAATTAATCAAACAACAGTAGTGAACATAATTTCAACTACTGACTAAGTATTAGAGTGGATTTCAGTGTTATAAGGAAAACCCTCCGGTGCAGATTGCTTACATGCGAATAGATGTATTTCATAAGTCGCTGTAAGTCTGATTATCTGCCGAACATGAAAGTTTTACAACTGCTATTCGGTCACTATTCCGCATCAGGCAAAAGTTCCAAGGAGTAAGGAAACAAAAAATCAGTGGTTCCGTGGTGGGGTGCATCTAACCTCTGTGAAGTAACGAGCAATAGTATATATATTGCTTTGGGACCAACAATCTTTAGACTGCATCATCAAGCACTACCCCGAAGTTCATTCAGTCAGCCATGTACCCGAGAAGCACCAGATGTGGATTATTGAGAAAAACATTTGCCTTGGCGCAGACAAACCGGCAGAGTGTCACTTACAAATAGCTGTGGATTGACTCTTTATTCTTTAACGGTTGTTTTATCACGATTTGTTGGACACAAGTAAAGAAATCAGATGAGATGATTTTAAAATACTTATGTAATATTTGTAAATCAGTGATTCAATCAATTAAAAATGAACCATGTTTTGGCTGCATGAAGGTTATAACTGTTTTTCTACAAACTAAAGATCCCTGTTCCAATGGTTTTCATCGGTTTTCCTGGTTTCGTTTCTTTTAGTAAAGCTGGGAGTCAAATCACTGACCTTTGAATGCGATGGTCTGGGATCGCGCATTTCAATGGGTCCTTACGGCGCAAACTGCGGGTTCAAGGTGAACGACAGCATCACATTCCCACCTGGACGATACTGCCTGTTACAGTTCTCCTCAACTTGTCCCCCAGGTAAGGTCTTTTGTTCTGATGCCATCAGTCTTACTGATAAGGATTAACTCGGTTGCAAGTCACCAGTCTTATATCTAAACATGTCCTATTCTCCTCACTGATACCCCCTAGGTTTCACACACCGAAGTGGCAGTATGGCCGTTGGTCTACGGCTTCGCTCGGTAGGCAACACATGTTGTCGGGAGGATGAGACTATCGGCGCTATTCAATTTCCTATTCCACTGGCGGCACCGTTTAAACTTCCAGCCGTCCGAGCTCCTTGTCAAACAATTGAGGGGTTCAATGTGGATGCAGAATTAGGTCATTGTTTGTACTATCCCCGTGGAGGTAAGTCAGAAAGGTGTAGTGTTTCCTCATCAATGAGTAACGTTTTACGCAAACTGGAAAAACACCGGTTTTGTTTTCGTTTTTGTTTCCTTTTGAACCATGGTCTTTCAGTAGGAAATCAAACCTCATTTAATTGAACTTTAAAATACTGATTGCACTGTACAGTTGCCCAAGTTTCATCCCAAATTCATATTCACAGACAGACAGACAGACAGACAGACAGACAGACAGACAGACAGACAGACAGACAGACAGGCGGTACAATGATCTGTACAAAAAGAATAAGGTCCATGATTTCCTTATGAGCGTGATACTGCTAGGGTGTTCAGGCCAGGCAGGTAAAATCTCTTAGAGAATTCGCAACCGGAGCCTTTTACTAACCAAAGCCTGAACCAAAATGTAGCGGGATGATGTGTGAAAACCGCCTCCCATTGGGAGCCAGTGTACAGTACATCAGGTCATACGCCCTTTGAAAGGGGTTAAACCTCCAATGTGCCCAATCACCTCCATACTTAATTGAGCCAGTGACTACTTCCAAAACCAGGAAAATGTATGTGATACGTACGTCTCTTCTTAGTTTATTTGGAATTAGAGATTTTAGACAGCTCTCCCAGATGAACTACCAGTTTTTCACCCACTCGGTTATAGACCCACATATCAGTTTTTCGCCCTCTCGCTTTGGTGATAAAATATCCCCACCACAAGAAGGCAGTAAGATCAACCATAAGCTATTTTACACGCATGGTCATAAAGAAGCCCCTCGAGAGGTGCGAGGGAAGAGGTACCAGCCACAACCCGAGATACTCAACCCCAACCATATCAAGGCCTTGGGAAGCTCTTTGACTTTCGGAGGCATTTAGGACAGAATTGAGTTATTCGGATAGAGTAATCCCCTATGTGGCACCATCAGCGTTCATCATAGTTAAGAAATCTGAAAAAATGGAAGAGGAGACGGTATAACGCCTTGGTATAGACATAGATCCTACCATTACAATGGGCGAATTGCTGCGAGATGTAAAATAGACCAAAATGATGGGACAGATGATGCCTGTCGCTCCCGATGGAAATAAAAACTTTTATCTCGTAACAGTACTTTGATCGAGAAAACAACTGTGAACAGTTTAACATTTCCCATCTGATCGAAAGCTCAGCAAGTGGTAACTGGGAGTGCCGATAACACAAACAGCGATTGTGGTCAGTTAGGGTAGTATGATACGAGGACATTTTGCGTGGAATAAGCTTATTAAACATTTAAGCGTATGTGAGGTACAGGGTCTAAAGCCGAATCTCCACATATCATTCTTGGGAACTGACGTGATGCGGAAAGATCACAAACATTTTGGAATCTGTTATTTTATCCCGGTTTTCTATGAACATAGTTGAAACCACGGGATCTGGACACACATTGGCTGAAGACTGTCTAGTTTGTCCATTTTTTTAGGCTTTTAACTGACACATCACACAATGCGGAAGCCATATTCGTTGGCGGAAAAGGATAAACGGTTTTCACCGCCACAGCCCCAATTAAGCTGTTCAATTTCCGTGAGTATAGATTGTGACTGACCAGGAGGATCATTTATTTTCCTGATTTCATTCAAAATTTCAGAGTATCTCCCGACAGCTAATAGAACGCCACGGAATTGAGCCACCTGACCTCTTTGTTATGTTATGGTGGGAGTTCTGACGATTCATTTTGCATTGGCCACCCCACCCCACCCCGCATCCCAATACTTTCATTCTTGCTTTGGTCGGTAATGTGGTCTGCACCGAAATAAAGGGTTACGAGGAAGTAACATTTAGTATAAAAAAACGGGATAAATGATAAGAGAACACCAGGAAGCCAATAACTCACTGCGAACGAAAATGGAAAAATCTGTACCAAAACACCATATCCCCTAGTCTCATGATGCCTACTGTGTAATTGACTTCTAAGTTAGTACTTCTAATTCGTTTTGAGGGATTTGCAAACGAGCACCAGCGGTACTTTATATACTTAATGACTTCTCTTGCTCCACGATTCCGGCAATGAGCAGGCTGTTCACTCTGATGCGCGGAAAAGCCTTTTCGTTTTACAAGTGTATCATTGATCTAAGTGTGTGTAACCACGACTTCTGAAGAACATGACAAATTTCCGATCGGTGAATGAGCGTGACAACCAAGCACACGTGGTCTGTGCATCTCTGTCCGTGCTGTCAAGCGGTTGAAATCGCTGACACCAGTTTGCTTTTGGTGCTGGTGTCCCGGGTTTGAATCCCGTCACCACCACCCGATTTTGGTGGTGGGCAACTTCGTTGTCTGTGGGGCCTCATGTGGTCACCACTCCTAGTCTCAGGGCTCGATTTGCTTTTTATCACACGTTACTGTTTAATAAATATATATAACGCGTGTTCTGGGAATAGCTACTGTCCATTCGCTCCGATAGGCTTACGAGAGAACCGTACATGTCTCAACTATTGTGAGACTACAATTCTGGTGGAAAAACCCATAAGCAAGCCAAATTTTAGGGTCTCGCTAAAAAGGATGGCACTCTGATAGTTGTAGACTTTAAATATCCTACTCCTAACTGACAAAGACAGTCAGAATGGTCCACTGACAAAGCAACAATAACCAGAGACGTAACAGGGTGTTGGTTCCATGGGTAAAATAAACCTTCCCATCTTAATCACAGATATTCACAGCTTGAAGCGGATTTTGTTTTGTGAGAGATGTTACTTTTTTAAGGGCAACACAAAAAACGTGATTTGTGGTTCAAATCAGACATGCAAATGAATGCGCCTGCTCAACAGCATCACTCTACTCTCAGCGCCCAATGAAGGCACGAAACTTGGCAGAGTTCATTCATTAGACAACGGCGACATGTCACTCATCACTGAAATGCTTTCAACGCACTGTGTGTACAGCCATTTTACTCCCACCAGGAGGCATATGCAGTGCATTTCTATCAAATCCTTGTGGGGTTTCGAACCCGGACTTGAAAGTTACTTTGGCCTCCGAGGCACCGATCAGTTCGGCTATCCGATGGCACCCCCACCTCTCACCTCCCTCCCCTACATCAGGAGTAGGTTTCTGCGCGTCAAAATACTGTATGCCATGGTGCTCACGCGAAAGACTAGTCTGGATTTTCCAGAGCACGATCAACTAACAAGGGCACAAATTTCCGTTTGATTTGCTCGATATGTGCTATTGATCCATTGCATCAAGTGAATCAAACAACTGCACCATGCTCCCGATTCTGTTTCCGACACTTCACGATCCGTTCGCTCCGCTTGATGAATGCAACTCCATGAGCGAAAATAACCTGCGAAATGGTCTCATGTTAAGAATGCCATTTAAAAATGAACAAAGGAGACACCATATGGGGAAGACAGAATTTAAACACCACGAGATTCCATAAATGCTATGTACGGAAGCTATCCTTCCTGTTTACTGAGGGGCCTGTACTGTGCTGGGATGGAATGAATTGTTGTAGTCACAAAGAAAAACAATAACAAAAACAAATTGGTTGCCCACAGTTAGAGAGAATCAAGATCCGATTTGAATTACAGTCATTCCGATTTCGTCCACAACACTCCGATCCTGTGTTGTCTGTTGTTTCTCCCTGTTTTTTCTCTCAGATACACCTCAAGCACTGATGGTCTGGCCCAGAATTTTAGGGACAGCTGAAACGCCTGAAGAGACCACTGCCCCGGCACATTGCGCGCTCTCTCCCAGACGAAGTAAGTTGCTTGAATAAAACTGCTCGGTATTTTCAGCAATTTTTTGCACAGATTTTGTTTAATCAAATTGTACAAACTGAACAGAGTGTAATCAATACAAGTTACGGATCCTACCCTGCACACCCTGGGTAATAGATAGTGGGCACCATTTGAGATGCAGCGAAATCGTCCAGGACATAAATGTTGCTATACTGGCTTCTCTTTTCAGATTCATTGTTCACAGTATAACCCAAATAAATTAAAATGTTATAACTGATGGAAAGAAGTGGTCAGCATTTGTGTATGATCCCAAGTTTGAAATACTCTTTCACTCTCGTTCTCTGTCGCTGTCCATCACCAAATTATCATTGAGTTCCACATGTTCCGTTGTCACTGGTGTATTTGGCCGCAAACGAGTAGTTTAACTCGTGCTTGGTATATGGTATAAACAATACGTTCACCGTTGTATACAATAACTCTGCAGACTTGAGTGTTTGTCTGTGTGGTGTTTTGGGGCGGAGGCAGGGGGTAGAATTTGATAGATAGAAAGGTAACCACCAGATGTCGTGAATCATCGTGTTGCAAACTGATTGATATCACTTCGCTTAGTGTTTCCATCCACGTGAACCGGTATTCTAGTGTGTGTGTGTGTATGTGTGTGTGTGTGTGCGAACGTGTGTATCAGTTTTTCAATCCACTTAGAGGTGAAACAACGGTCAGCTAGTTTCGATTGGTGCCAGTAAACACCAGTGTGAACACTTAGGTGAGATCCAATGTAGCGTTGATCACCACAGGATCCGCTGAACGCTCAAATCCACCATGTGGTTAATTAGCTATTCAATTTATTCATTAAGCGCACGTTCATTCTTACCTTCGTCTTATTTGCTTAGACTAAGACTCTTCTTATTGAGTTGTACACGAATGACTGCACAAAGTCTCCCTGCAAGCACATGACTTTCTTCACGGGACTTGACGCTCGTCAGGAAAGCGTATCCTTTATTTAGCTATTCTCATATTTGTATTCTCGATGTGAATTAGGCGACGCCAATCCCATTTCCACCTCAGGAGTTGATTCAAGACGAAAGAGCCCCGAAGAATCGTTGCAACGATCCTGCGTTTTAGGTGTGTTTGCGAGAAATTTCGCCCAGTCATTCATACACTACTCATTATGAAAGCAATGACAATCATTCCTGAAGTCCAGTTGGCTGTCAAACACTTCAGGAATCACTCAACGCAGCTTATCGGTGGTCCAACGAGAACGACATTGAATTTAATGTTTCTAAATGCAAAGTCCTATCCCTACGCCACAAGCTGAAATTCTCCTATTTCCTC